TTTATTCAAATTTGTTTCAATTTTGGTTGGTTCTAACCCAAATCTGATAATTGACACCTATATTCTTATCTTTTATCAATAGACCAGATATTGGCTCAATCCAACCAAATTCAATATAAATTCATTAAATCCGTCCTGGTCAAATTCAATATGCCTTATTGATCCATCCAATCTATCCAAATTGACTTTGGTTTGGATGGGGTTCAATCCAAAAGCAGTCCATCAGAACCCACCTCTAGATGGGCTTTATGAAGGACATGGTCCATGCGAAAAGAATAGCATGACCAACCAATTAATTCTTACACCGCCTGCAGTGGATGGGAGAAGTTTCCTTGAGCTAGGGGCGATCATGGGCCGGGCCCGGGCTGAAATGATCACCTCCGCCTTGAGCCTTAGCCCGTAAATTGTAAGGTGCAATAATCTCGCGACAGTAGTTGATCTCTTGCATAAACCCATTTGAATGTGGGCTCCAAAACCAGTTACGAGACGTCGGTGTGGAAAGGCACAAGTTAACGGCAACACTTTGATAAATGATAAACAGTACTGAATCTGGATTCCGATCCAGCAAACGTCCTGACGTTTAAGCAAGCATTGATGAAAACTAGACAACATAGTTTTTATCTCTTTCTTGACAGTAAAAGAAAAGCAATCATACATGCATAAGCAATGGGCATCTCTCTGTCTCTGTATCCTTTTTGACGGAAAAAGAGCCTTATCATTATTATTAATATTGTAACAATTAGTACATGACTGATGAATGATAACAAGAGATGATGCATGAGACCATTTAAAGTTGAAAGTTGCAAAGCGAAATGTGTCGTGCAATGGCAGCTTTAATTTGGATGGTTAGGGAGAGAAGTGAGAAGAAGCGGATTAAATGCATGACAGACAAAAACACTCCTACTACTACCACAAGCAAGTATTGCAAGTAGCAACGCATCCTATTCCTAATGAATTAATACAGCAACCACACTTCCATGCTTTCTTTGACCTTGGTTAATTACCTTTCACAGTCTTCCCTAAAATTAAAATATATTGAGGGAAGGAAATTTGATGTTTTATTTCTATATATTTATTTTATGTTACGCATAGATGCATGCATGTGTGTTTTCACTTTTCAGTTAGTTATTAGTTATAAGCCAACAACCGAGGCCATCCCTCTCATTATTATTTCTCCCTCCCCCTCTGCTGGCGCCTGACGGGTTGGGTAGCTTGGAAGGAATGGTCAGGGCTATATATGGTACTCTACAGCTCTACATGCTGAACATCCTGCCATAGTTTTGCAGCAAATTTTTACTTCTGCAATTGCTAGCCTTTCCCTTTCTTAGTCCATAGCAGATTAAAAATATGAGAAAAGAAAGCTAGAGTTCCAGTATACAATTGCAAATGGACCAGGGCCTAAAGATAGCAGGTTAATTGGGTCCTACAGAAGACTAGAGGGAAAAGGGAAAACATAAATAAATGTGATACTCCAACCCAAGTCCATGCACAAATAAAGGGTGGATTGCCCCTCGTATCTCTGACTCTACCAGAAACCCTCTCTCACAAAAGAGTTGCTGCATCTGTACTCCAAGTCTCTTGACCCCTACTTAATTGTATTTCAGAAATTTCTGAACACAAATACAATCCCTCCACGGGAGAATACGTACGGAAGTAGGGTAATTTACATGGGACGCAACAGTACCATAAATACGGCGGTATGATTAAATCCAATGCTGTGAGATAGTAATTGGGCACATTCTGCTTTTAATGAAATGAACTTGGTGCATTGGTCACATAGCACCACTTTTATGATGATAATTTATTACTTATTGTTTATTGATTAGGGATATGTGTCCCTGCCTAGATGTAGCTCCATTTGGCTCATGAATACTGATTTTTTAACCACAAAAAAATAAAGAAATTTGAAGGAGGCATGTATACGGTGTTCATACTCTCAATAAATATTGCTGTGTTTGTGCTTTGAATTCCAGTTATGAACTTGCTTTATGACTAGAAAGATTTGAAGACAAAATTTCCTAGTGGTATGTGGGGGAAGAAGCCAGGCTGAGGGATTGGATTAGCATTCATATGGGAGTTATGATACATCCTATTTCACAGATATATGGGATTTGTAGTCCAGTCTATTGCTTAGGTGGGACATGCGGGTAGGGGTGGATTTGAGTCGAGCTGAGCTGAATAGTATCAGGCTTGAGTTTGAGCCAAAACCTTGAGCTCAAACTCGGTTCGGCTCGAGCTCGATTTTGAGAAAAAAATATTTTATAAAAATAGAAATTATATATAATTTTTTTATTTTATATTTAAAAAATTAAGAATTATAATGTTTTTATTATATATATATATATATATATATTCAAGCCGAGCTCTAACCGGCTCCAACTCGACTCATTTAATAATCGAGTCACTGAATTAGGCTTGAGCTCGGTTGAAACCGAGCCAAACCGAACCAAATTCAAACAATTCATAAAAAACTCGGCTCGTTGCTACCCCTACTTGCGGTATATCAGTACTCAAGTCATTTGGACTTGTTGTAGCCTGGAATCATAAGTGAGAATTGCCGGACATTGGATTCGTTTCAAGGGTTTTGCAGGATTCACAAAACCTGTTTCATTCTCAGTTTTTTTTGTGGAGCTGACTCAATTTGGGGCAAGGCTCTAAATATCAATTTGGGTGTATTAAGAGCAAGGTTTTGGTGAAAAGAGGTGATGAACACTGTGATTGTAGTCACTGCTATTTTAATGAATTATTTCTCCTTTGATATCTGTCAATGAGTCAAATCACATAATTTTTATATGTACTTAAGGCTCTATTTGGAAGGAGCCTTGATATAAATATGTAGAATGCAAAACCTTTTATTTTTGTATTATTTTGTATATATTATACTGTATATATTTGTATTTTTACTCTTTCCAAACTGAACCTAAATTGATTTATTTTATATTTTCATTTTACGTTCTTTATTTATCAAGCGTTTTTTGGATCCATTAAGATCTGTACTTTAAACCCTTCACAGTTAAATATGTTCAGTTTGAAAACAAAGATAGATGAGGTTTTAAATATGTTCTATACATTATGTTTCCTCTCGTGCAGCAGACATACAAACTTCGATAAACATCGATTGGTGTTATCTAATCATATTGTTAAACGACGTATGGCGCAGCAGCAATCTTAAGAAATACTCATCACCCTTTTATTAATTCCGTTGTTTTCTCTTTCTTATTCACTCCACACCAGACGACGATGACGATGATGTTATCATGTTATTGGTTTCAGAGCTAGTCGGAACACCAACTCTCTCTCTCTCTCTTCAAATTTCAAACTTTGACACGTGGACAGTTATGATAAGACAAAATAAATAAAAAAACAACCTCATGAGCTAAGTTATTGTCTCCTGAGAGAATCACAAGCAAGGGCATATCATAATGACACGTGTCAGATTTGGATGAAATGTGGGACCTACTTTTGCAGTCTCTGACAGAATCCACGTGAGAGAAGACGGAGTCGGGTAACCCTATCATATGCATGTTATATATGATATGATATGATAACCACGTGCTGAGAGAGTTATTGCCAGATCTCAGCACGTGCTGAGAGAGGATATCATACCTTTCCGGTGAGTTGCAAAACACTCTTTCATTAATTGCAACTGAAAAAGAGTGCAATTGAATAAAAATAGAAAGTACAATTTACACGTGGCAAAGGATTATAGGCTCAATACAGGGGAGGGTGGCCCTTGAACGCGTGCCATCTGTAGTACTTGTTGTCTTCTAGTAAGAGATTGATGTTTATTCCTTCCCGTCAAAGATGAAAGATCAACGAAAAGAAATTGTTGAGTGATGTTCCCCCTGCATGTCGCCACGTGTACAACATTCTCTCCGTAGATGTGGTTTATCGGATTGGACAATCTGGCAACCTGCTCCTGAAAAAGGGGAAAGCCCAGAGTGGAAAGAAAAAAATGGTCAGGTTTGATTTGTGATGGAACATGGGGAGAAAGAGAAAGATGGAAGAAAGTTTTTTGTTGGTTGACCATAAAAGCAAGACTTGAGAATTTATCAAATGACTTAAAAGCCCCTGACATTCGTAGTGAGTAATGACCCGGTCGACCCCATTAACCCCCAAAGCGGTCCAATTGTATTCGAACCTTCTCTGCCGAACCAGACCTGACCCACAACAGCAGGTGAGTGTGTCAGACCAATTTGGGTCGAGGTTGACAAGTGCCAACCAAACCTTTGGACCCCATTAATTATTATTAACCAGGCTAAGGCTGAGATGTGTGGATTGAAAAAAAAAAGCTGTCAATGGATTGAATTAATTAACCCATTGGTTTATATAAATTCCAAAAACAGGATCTGAGTAGTTAAAGCTAGAACCATAGCTATTGAAGAGAAGAAGATCAAAAATCAAAATCATCAAATGGTTCTTGTTATGACTTCTTTTAATTTGTTAGTTAGTGTTTGGTACTTCCCCACTTAATACTCTTTCTCACATTTTCTACTTTCCTTCATTCTTCAACGTCAAATGCGCAGTTTCCAATAATATTAATAAATCCGATGAAGTGATGGAGAAAGGGCGTTAAATAAAGAGACATTCAACTCACCTTAACTACTTCATCAACTAACGCCAATGTCCTCCTCTTTTTAGAAGGGCTCGTTTGGATTCATTCTATTCCCTTGTTTTTGCTTACTTGGGGTCTTTGCAGTTGCAGCATGCTCATGAGATCGACCGCTGACCATGCATGTAATATCCATATCTTGCAAATTGCTTTTGTATTTTAATTTCCGACTTTCAACGGTGGAAGGGTATTTATGTCATTTGAAACCGTCACACTGAATCACTGCGGCATAAAGACAGAGGGAGGTTTGTTAAAAAAAAAGGACTGTTCGGTAATTTGATTTATAAGCTGGGCAGTTGGTGGGTCTTCTCGCTTCTACGATTCCCGGGCTGCGGAGAGAGAGAGATAGAGAGAGAGAGAGAGAGGCAGAGACAGAGAGACACAAACAAAAGCAAAGTAAAAAATAAAGAGAGATAATTAGAAAACAACAGAGCTCTTTCTCAGTGTCTCTCTCTCTGTTCTGATCTCTCTGTAGTCTGTACCTCTCTGCTGATTAAGATTTCGATTTCCGGAGCTCCCTGTAAAGTTGATCTTGTTCCGATATTCTGCGGACAAAGTTATTCGAATCTGTTTCTCTGTTTTCTATCGAAGTCTCCTCTGGATTCGAAATGGGTTTCTCTTTAAAAGGAGGTTTGTTGGTTGGATAAGAGAAGAAAAGCAGCAGAAGAAGAACAAAATGTCTTGGAAGAGCAAAGGAGGAGAGCTGCCACCAAGGAGCTTTGTGTCCAGGAAATGGACTATTTTTCTTTGTATCGCCTGCTTTTGCGCCGGAATGCTCTTCACTAACAGGTACTTCTTTGTGCTATTTTCTTTTTTGTTGTCTTAAAATTTCAAATTTCATTTTCCATGGGTTTTTACTTCGGGGTTTGGATTGGTCGGCTAAACTTATGCATTTCTTTTGCGAAGCGAGTGGCAATTATTTTTCTTTCCTCCTCGAGTTAGGAGGCCTTTGAGTAGAATCTCCTCCTCTTTTATTTCAAACTCTTCCTCTTTATTACACTTTCCTTTGGTGGCCGGGGGGAATTACATGTTTTGATTTTGTTGGGTTATTAGTGCTTATTTTGTAGTTTCGATATATCTGAGAATCAAAACTTTCTATGGTGGTTTAGAGTGGTCTCAGTTGGGTTTCATAGGTTCATTGAATTTCTATTTCTGAACTTCTTTAATTTCCTTCACTCTCCCTATTCTTTGAGAAGTTTCCTCATTTGGATGTAAATGTTGGGGTAGATCTGAGTTAAAACTTGAGGTTTCCATCCAATTTTATAGAACTCTATTTGGGCTTTGGAGCGGGTAATGATTTTCATGTCTGGTAGTTGCTATTACTTCTTTAGCTTCTATATTATAGTTACAGATTATTCAAATTCAATCGCTTTAAACATATTTCGATTGAAAATTCAGTTCCAGATTCTAACAAAGAAGTTTCTAAATATTTATCACCTGGGTAGATCCACGTACCTGATGAATCGCTTATATCTTTTTCGTCCTCTATCCTTCCTCCCCCGCACCCCCACCCAAAACCCAAAGTAACAAAATCTGGGTAGCGCAGCCGCCTGAAAGGCTGAAACATAATATTTATTTCGCCATATTTTGTTTATCTCTAGCATTAATGAGCGGCAGTCCTTTTTATTATAACTGTTGTTTATCTCTAGCCTTCATATCTTGCTTGTCTCTCTTTAAACTTAACGTATTTACTTAAACCGTATCATACTTCATATTATTAAAAATTGAACTGTATTTTGATTTTCTTAAACCCAAAACCATTTGGCCATTAGTATGAAACTATATCTTAGCGTCTGCTGTATGTGTACATATCATATTAATTGTTTTTTCTGTGGTAACAGAATGTTGACAGTACCTGAAACTAAAGATTTAACAAGGATAAATGGAATGGAAGATGAAAAGCTAAAACTAGTGTCAGAGGGTTGTGATTCAAGATTTGTGAGTCTCTTTTTTCTGCTGCTCCGTTTAAATTTGACCTCACTTTGGAAAAAGATGTAACAAAGTGGTCATATATCCTGAGATAACTACTTAAAAAAATTATGTTTTCAAGTTCCAATTTTTTCTTTGTTCTATTTCTCTCAATTAGAGGCTTATTGTGTTATGCATCCATTTTCTTTTTCACCAGAAGGAGGTAAAACATGAATCCAAGGACATTCTAGGGGAAGTTTCAAAGACTCATCATGCAATACAGTAAGCTAATATTTGATGATTTAGATGAATTACGCTTATGTATTGTACCCTAAAACATTTATACTGATCTAAATGCAACCAAATAATTGTAATGGTAACTGGAATGATCTGCAGAACTCTGGACAAGACAATATCAAATTTAGAGATGGAATTAGCTGCTGCAAGGGCTGCACATGAATCCATACTCAATGGTTCTCCTATATCAGAGAATCTAAAGGTCACTGAATCAACAGTGAAAAGAAGATATTTGATGGTAATAGGAATTAATACTGCTTTCAGCAGCCGTAAACGAAGAGATTCAGTTCGTGCCACTTGGATGCCACAAGGTTTATGGAAAGATATGATGTTATGCTTTACATTTTGGTTTCTTCAATTAAACCTTCCTTTGCTTGCTTGAATATGATTTTTATAAAAAATACTGAAAACAGGTGAGAAGAGAAAGAAGCTTGAGGAAGAGAAAGGCATCATCATTCGCTTTGTTATTGGTCACAGGTGAGAGATTAAATTTCTCCTAAAGCCTGTCTCAGTTATGAAAACAATTTTCTCATGTTTGAACCCCTCTGTGACAGCAACTTTTTACATCAACTGATATCAGAATATAATATCTCATGTTTGAGTCTCATTGGAGCTCCTCATTTCTTGTGTAACATTAATTCTAGTGCCTTCTACCTTCTTCATGTCCTCTTAGTCCTTTTTTTACCTTTTAACTATATTGGTGTTTCTACAAATAGCGAACTTTCCTGTAGTTTCTTTAATCTATCACATTGGAGCCAAGGTGTACCCTTCATCTATTTGAGCTATCATGAATTTGTGCTTTGTATGCATGCATTCATTTCTATCTTTTTACCTCGTAGTCTTTGTTAGGCATTCAAGTTCAACATCATCATTCTATATTCATTCTTTTTGTTTATCTGTTTATGATGATTGCCAACACTCTGTCTCATTAATTTAGCATTGAATCGTGAGTCAACTTACCTAACTTGACCTGTTGAATTTTGAAGTTCTAAGATGTGAGTTGAAAGCTTCTGTCTATTTCCCAACTGTCAGAAGCAGTTGATACTTTAATAGACTTGCTCAATCTAGTGAACTTCGCCATGTATGAAGAGAATCAGAAATTAGTGCCTGGATATTGTATGGTGCCATTGATGCTGAAGATGATACTTTGTTATTGAATGTATGTTATGGGTCAAGTTACCATCAATTATACTTTGTTATTTAATGAACATCCCCAAAAAAATGCGCCAATATGTTTCTTATGTTGGTCCAAATAGAAATTTTGGATAGTTATAGACAGTGATGATTTTTTATTTTTTATTTTTTGATAAGCTCCTAGAGTTACTTTGAAAACCGACTCAATCGCTTTAGCATCTATCCAATTTTTCTCATGACTTGCCAAAGGCATGGTAGACAATAAAATATTAGGTGACCTGCAATGATAGATTCAAAGAAGAAGAAATAAACATAGACTACCTAAAATTTTCAATTGTTTTTAATGTCATTAGATGGCTAATTGATTATGCTTTAAGCATTTTATGGCAATTTCTGCAGAAGTTGTCTTGAAAGACCACAACTCTCTCAAATGTCTGACAGAATGTTGAGTGTGTGTGTATGTATGTATTTATAAGTATATATGTAATATATAAATATATTATAGGTCGGACTGGGCAGTGCTGGGCTTGCAAGCCGGGCTAGAAATGATTACTCCAAATCCTTGAACCAAAATCCCATCAATCTCATGGAGGGAAAAGCTCGAGGAGTTTGGGTTGTAATTATTCTTATGATGTTTATGAGCATTTTGGTCTTTTGTTTCTCTCATATCAATGTTAAGCCTCTGACATTCTTACTGCCTTTTCTCATATGTGTATCTGTTGCTCTTGTAATGTTTTAATATTGCTTGTGATGATCCTTTTCTATAGACATTATTAGTAATGAGGATAATAAACTAATATTTGGTGTTCGAGAAATCTTTTTTTTTTTTTTGTTAAGGCGAGAAATCTATTTTAATTGAATGAATTTTCTATCACTAGTGCCACATCTGGTGGAATTTTGGATAAAGCTATTGAAGCAGAGGATAGAAAGCATGGAGACTTCCTGAGGCTGGTAATACTTTCTTATCATTTCTCCTTTTATTCTGAGGGTGCATTGGGTACCCAATTACCTAGATACCCCGTCCCTGATTAGCACCATCTGTGTCCATGAACATTGTGCCAAACTCTGTCTTGCTGGGTGGGTACCCAATCAAAATATGAATCATGGATGTTATAGAAGGGAAGCAATTAAACCCACTTTCCCCTCTACTTTTAACTGTATGCATGTAAGAAAATTTTAGGTTTTAGTTTACCTTCAGAAATTGCTAATTTTCATATACCTGATTGGTACTTATTATTTGGCTGTTTGGGTCTGCAATCAGCTTTGCCATGCCTCAACCTGACAAGACACGGTGATGCATCTGGGTCTAGGTGTGCTTGAGACTTGATCTGGACCTGACCTGTAGACGCCCTAAGACTTATTTTTTTGGTGTACTCGCACAATTTGGTCTTTTACTATTGACCTGAAAATGATGTCAAGTGGTCATGAGTCATGACTTGTTTGTGTTAATACCATATCCACAGGAGCATGTTGAAGGGTACCTTGAGTTGTCTGCTAAGACAAAGACATATTTTACTACTGCTGTTGCTTTGTGGGATGCGGATTTCTATGTCAAAGTTGATGATGATGTCCATGTAAATATAGGTAATAAGAAATTTTGACTCTGCTCTATCCCCTATCTTGTTGCTCTAGTAACCTAAGTCTTATCTTTTTTCTACTATATTAATAAAGATTATACTAACAATATAGGATTTCAACTGGATTATCGTACCCTTGATTTGGTTCCAAGAAAAGAATCGGACATTATGGGTGATCCTAGCCATACTTTTTTTTTTTTTGTTTCTGCTTTGAATAGTAGACAATAAGAAAAAGAAAAAAGAAAAGATGACTGGACATCCTGATTGAGGAGGACAATCATTGGGGATCATCATCATTATCTATTGGACAAAGTACTCTATTTTCTCCGTAGTTTTTAAGTACAAAATATCGTATTGTAACTTGCAATGTGGCTGCCAAGTGCAGAAATGTGCATTTTCGAAAAATGTTCCCCATTTTAGACAAAAATTAAAGCACATTATATTTTCTACACACACACCTCTCTTTCTTTCTCTCATTATATTCTTCACTTTGTTTACAAAATTACCATTTTTTCTAGAGAAATCTAACTTATGTAGTGAAGATGAATTGGTCATGTAAAAATCAGCATCTTTGCAGTGATTGTCCTTTGTCGCACTGACTTCATCAGTTTCTAAATTGCTGCAGCAACACTTGGAACGACTTTAGCTAGACACAGGTCAAAGCCCCGGGTGTATATTGGATGCATGAAATCTGGTCCTGTCCTTGCTCAAAAGTAAGCAAATGCATCTCAAAATTATCCAAGGACTACAATAAACTGTTTGGTGAGAAATTGCTACTCAGTTCCTAATTTTGCCCTTGTCATTGAATAGGGGAGTGAGATACCATGAACCTGAGTATTGGAAATTTGGGGAGGAGGGAAATAAGTATTTTCGACATGCTACCGGTCAGCTGTATGCTATTTCGAAAGATTTGGCCACTTATATGTCGATAAACCAGTAAGGGCTGAACTTTATTCTTTTGTACCCTTTTCTTTATTCTACAGAATCAGATCTTATCAGCAAGCTTTATATCCATTTAAACCTAAAGAATTTCGAACCCATCCAACTTCATGTACAATGATAACTATATATGCATCAAATGACAACTGCAGGCATGTGCTCCACAAGTATGCTAATGAAGATGTTTCATTGGGAGCTTGGTTTATTGGCTTAGATGTTGAGCACATTGATGATCGGAGATTATGTTGTGGTACACCACCCGGTGAGTATTTGGTTTTTATGATATTTAATAATTGCTATGTCCTGCTGTTGTAATTTGGTGGTAGTAGTTGTTTCTAGAAATCATTGTTTTGATCAGTTAAAGGAAACAAGTTTTGAAATCTGAAACCTGACCTGTATGGGTGGTATCATGCCAATAGCATAATAGTTGATATATCAAGGGTTAAGGTTTTGTCATTCCGGAATTCTGACATTTTCACAGTTTTGATGGTGACCGAGATGGAACATATTTAGATTTTTTTAAGTACTCCTTTTCATTCCAAAACAGAGATAAGTAGGAGAAAACTTAGGCAACTGAATGAGATAGGATTGAGAAAGAGAAAAAAATAGGAATAACAAGAAAATGAATCACGCAAAACAAAAGAAGAAAAAAGAAGCTTTTGAAATACTATTTTCTCTGAAATTTAAAACTGAATCCAGAATTTCATTGAAAATTTGGATAACTTTTGGGTTTAGAGCCAGTTCAGTACTCATCATGTATACATGCTTGTATCAAGGATCAGTTAATATAGGATATTTGTATTGAAACAAAGATGGTCTTCTATTATTTTTTTTTTTATTTTCTTGGAAGATCAGAAAGACGGAAAACTTCATGGCATAAATAAGCCTATAAAACGAATAAATCTGATCAATCATATTGATTTTTGACTTGCCCATCCCATTAAGAAAGAAAAGGGGGTGGGGACTGGGGAATTTGTTAAATGTGTTTAATATTTAAAGTTAAGCCAGTGCTACTGGGTAACTGAGGTTTTCTCAAGTTAGCAAGCAAACAAGAGAGCTTATCAAAGAATTTTAAATGAAATTGTAATACAAAAAGTTGCGATTGTATGTTTTATCATGATATCATTTTCCAAACTTACGTCTTTGCTAATAAGACTGATGCAGACATCAAAATACCAAAAACTTTTTGGGAGAAGTACAAATCAGCCCACATCAGAATTCTCTAGCCCCAAAGTACAGGGGTAATGCATCCTGACCGTGAATTGATGCCAAATTCACGGGCAGGATGTGGTTTATAGGGACAGAGGGTTAGTAGTAGGGGGGGCTGGAATTCAGAATTCTGCATCGTGTGGTTTTGTACTCCGAAACTTTTGCTGGCTCTGATCTGCCTGATTTGACATGTGGGTTTAATCAAGTCAGAGTAATAATGGTAGTTAGTATTTTTATGCGGAGAAATAAGGATATACACTATGCAGAATTCTGAATTCCAGCCCCCCCTTACTACTAGCTTTCTCCCCCTATAAACCACATCCTGCCCGTGAATTTGGCATCAATTCACGGTCAGATGCATTCCCCCTGTACTTTGGTGCTATAAAATTCTGATCTGGGCTGATTGGTCATTCTCCCTGTTTTTATGTCTATACTGTGTAAAATGTGTGTTTGTATGTCTGCTACCTCTTGTAACATGTAAATTTCTTTTTAGTTGTTTCTAGTGTATTATTATAGGTACAGAAAATAACTTTGTAGTATATTTATTACTTCAATGGTTATGAGAACTTTTTGAAATATACTAATATTGATATTCTCTACAGGCATGCCTTCTTTACGAGTAAATTACTGGAATTTATATCTAATTGTGTACTTTTTCTTTATGCAAATCAAAATCCACTAATATTGTAAGAATATATTTTGTGTAGCCATTGTAACATAAATATACTTTATTAGGTCTTTTCTCCCTTCCAAAATCTAATCTTTATCTCCTAGCAACCCCCCCCCCCTCTCCCCCACCACCACACACACACACACAGATCCAAACTGGTGTTTCTTATTTCTCTCTTCCCCGCAGGTAGACTGGGCTAAACCGAATCTCCTGTAGCCTCTTCTTGCTAAGGCCCAAGAACTTGGTTCCTAGGTTTTCTGAACATTGGCCTAGACCCACTTAATTTTAGCTTTCAAAGTTCTTGCTCTGATAGTAATGATCACCTACCATTGTGATATATGTGCCATGGCCCTTGTGGGATGTTTCTCATCAACTGAACCGCCGATTGAACAAATGTTTGATTGATGTATAGCTACAATCTACCAAGCCACATAATGGAAAAGAAATTTTTGGTTCAGTAATCATCTATCAGCACATATATGGCAAACAAGTTGATGATGTGACTTCTTACCGCAGATTGTGAATGGAAGGCTCAGGCAGGTAATGTATGTGTTGCTTCGTTTGACTGGAGTTGCAGTGGAATCTGCAAATCTGCTGAGAGGATCAAAGAGGTTCATCAGCGGTGTGGTGAAGGTGAAAATGCACTATGGAGTGCAGTCTTTTGAGAGGCAGCTGGATTTCTTCCAAACTCAGGAAGGGCAGGCTTGAGAAGGAAAGAAAAATAGAAGATCGATGGTGTGAGCTACATTCTTCTGGTTTATGTATGTGTACAGGGAATATATATAATATCAAAAAGTAGAATTATAGTGAAAAAGATAGGTGTTGCTGCTAGGGGCCCTTTTTCATTTTAGTAGAGGCTGACTCCTATAGCAGCGAAAGGTAAGAGGCAGTCGTCACCCATTCTTTAAATGCTCGGAGAGCCATTTTGTAACTTGCTCTGCCAATGGCTACTAAGCTCCATAATAAGTGCCAATCTTTGGGTCAGCTTTTGCTGCCTTTTGTTTCATAAATAGTGGATCCTGTCTTGGGCTTTGATGGGGTTCTTGCATCTTTTCATAATTGCAACCAGGAAGGTGATGGACACGCTCACTTTTGATTACTTTTCTTTAGCTTGAAGTTTTCATGGAGTCAAGTTATGTTTAATGACTCGTTTGACTCACCTAGGCTCGTCACCTAGGATGAGTTTTTATAGTGTGGCATGGCATGCATCTTTTTCTTAGTATGTTGAAAAAAAAAGAAAAGAGGGAATTCAAAGAAATTGACATTGACAGGGGATTTCGAGAGACAAATGTACTGGTTCTAACTTCTAACAATGACTTTACTATGCATTGAGAACATCATCCATATTTATACGTTATTATTGGAGGGAGATGTTCCAATGCATGGCGAGATGTGCATGTGAGGTCGGTGTGAGGATCGCTGTGTGAGGAGCATATCCCAATTCGCTTTTAACATGAATCATCTCAGACGAACGTGGAAACTGGTAACAAACATTCCCACATCCTACAATTGATGTAAGCTGATTTCATTTAGCCGGATTTCAAATCCTTGTATGTGCCATGTGGGAGAACTGATATCCATTGGGTCTTTAACGAAAACAAGATTTGTAAGCAGGACTGTGCCAGTCATCCGAACCTAGTCCAAGTCCAAGGGATACCAATTACCAATGGGCTGGTTGTGAGTTAAGATCTGTGCCCCACAAGGGGGCGTCCCACAACGTCCCACAGCACATTTCTGCCGTATATTTCGAACATCTCCTGATGATAGACTAAAATTGATGATATCATCATCAGGAGATGTTTTCAATACATAGCGGGAATATGCTGTGGGACGTTGTGGGGCACCCCTTCTGGGGTGCAGATGTGAACTCGCTGGTTGTAGCTAAAACCGCATGGTGTATTATTATGCTGTAAAAAGTAACGTAGTACTCACTCAAACGACTCAAACCACTAGAGCTACAAATTGTCCATGTAACGTTTACCTTACTTTCCCTTTCAAACATTCTTTATTCAGGTAATAACAACAGAGGGTCATTTCTTCACCACCTTCCTGTTTCCCTCTCAAACATTCTCTCTCTCTCTCTCTGCACGTTCCTCTCATAAAAGTTTCCTGTTTCCCTCTCAAACATTCGTAGGGCTCAAGTGAGCATCATCCACACTTCTATGTTCTCAGGCTTCGGCTTCCCCATCTTAATTGATTGGGTTGATTCGGTTCTTCTTTGTCTTACCTTTGATTTACAGAGTTTTCAGCAATTTTAAGATTCCTTATACTCCTTCAAAGGAAGCCAGGAAAAGGATTAAGTGATCATGTAGATGGGTAGACCACTTCTGTGCGTTTTTTTCTTGGTAGTTGCTTGTTACTTGCATTCTATAGAGAAAATGGTTGACCAGCTTTTGGTCCCCACTTGTTCATATTGTTTTCCTTTGATTATAGTGCGGTTAGAATACTCTTTTCAGTTGTTTCTAGTGATAGGGGCATTCCTATCATTGTACCACTTTTTATTATAGGCCTATTTTAAATAGCACTTGGGGCGGTAGACCAAGCCTTACTAAACCCCCTTTTTTCTCTTCTATTCTCTCTTCCTCCTCCCTTCTTCCTTTTTCTTCTTTTCATCTTTGTTTTCTTCTTTTTGCTGTTTACTAAGCAGGTATGAACCTCCTTGGTTTCAAACAACTTGGTATCATAGCAGGCCTAAAACTAGTTAGGGCTCTCATGTAGGTGTAGTCCAGCCGATTACATGAGAGTATTTCTAGGGTTGGAAGTTTCAGCTTGTTTCGTTTAATTCCTAAAGGTCATTGGAGATTGAAGAAGGTGCCCAAGGTTCAGAATACTTGGAGAACTGTCCAGTGACTAGGAAGAATCAGAGAAAACGAGTTGGTTTGTGATTTAGAGCTTAAATCAGAGATTGGGAGTGGTACCCAGTATTTTCTGGGTTGTTTTTCATACTTTTTTGGACTGTCAGGCGTCTGAAATTTTTCTGGAATTAGTACATTTGTTCGGCTGTTCCCTTGGACTGTTTTAGGGTTTCTTTATGGACTCTTCTTCTGGGTTGTATTGTTTTGACAGTGTTGGTCACCTCTATTGCCCACCATGTGTTCGTAAAAAGGCCCCTGAATCTTTTTTATTTACTTTGGGTGTTATTGGACAGTACTTGGAATTTTTTTGTTCGGAAAAGGAGTTTGGACAGTGATGTACTTTCCATTTAGTGAATATCCTTTGTTCATTTCAGCATGGAAATGGCTGGAAATAAGAACAAACCAAATGGAAAAGGACTTGTAGGAGTTGGAAACTCTATTAACAATAGTTCATTTCAGATTACTACAGTCAAGTTTGATGGAACAAATTATTTGAAATGGGCCCAATCAACCGTGATGGCCATTGGAGGGAGGGGAAAGCTAGGGTATGTGATGGGAGACACAAAGAAACCAACACGGGAGGACCCTTCCCTTGCTAAAGGGGTCCAAGAAAATTATTTGGTTATGACATGGTTATGCAACTCCATGCAACCTCATATTTGTAGAAACTATCTTTGGGCAAAGACAACTAATGAGATTTGGGGGGATTCCATTTTTACTGTCATTTATCTCATTAACATGATTCCTTCACGAGTCTTGGACATGAAAGCTCTTTTTAACTTGTTGTATCCTGATAAGGAGCAATTTTTTGTTCTTCCCAAAACTTTTGGTTGTACTTGTTTTGTCTAAATCCTTGGGCCTATTCGTTCAAAATTTGACCCTAAGGCTGCCAAATGTATCTTCCTAAGGTATGCATAATATCAAAAGGAGTATTGTTGTTATGACCCTGTCTCAAGAACCAGATTTGTATATATGGATGCCACATTTTTTGAAGATGTCCCCTGTTACTCTAGTGTTTCACCTCAGGGGGAGAGTAGTGAGCAGGTTGTGTTTGCTCAAGATGTTCCTTTGCCTATTCCTACAAGTGGAGGGGAGTTGTCAAAAGTGTAAAAAATTAAGGGTGTTTCACAGAAGATGGTGGTAGCAAGTCGATTGCAATAATGATTAGTTCAGGCCAATGCCTATCTCTTCTATGGCACCATATTCAAGTATTGTCTCCTCCTTACCCACTCCTACTATTGATGACCCATTTCCACTATTGAGTATCAACCATCCTTAGATGACCTTGACCTCTTGATTGCAGTACGTAAGGGGAAGTGTCAATGTACTTCATCTTCTATCCGTTGTATCTCCCATTTTCCTTTCTTATGATCATCTTTCATCATCATATAAGTCTTTTTTAGTCTCTATTACTGCCATTCCTATTCCTAGAACAGTACAAGAGGCCCTTGTTGTCCCTGAGTGGAAGGAAGCAATGAAGGTTGAGATGGATGCCCTTGTAAAAAATGATACTTGGGAACTGGTTGATCAACCAAGAGAGAAGAAGTCCGTTGAGTGTATGTGAATATTCACAGTGAAGTATAATGTTGATGGTACAGTTGAAAGATATAAAGCTAGACTGGTGGCTAAGGGATACACTCAAACTTATGTTATTGATTACTTAGAAACCTTTGCACTAGTTGCAAAAATGAACACCATTAGGGCTTTACTGTCTCTTACTACTAACTTTTGTTGGTCTCTGTTTCAGATTGATGTTAAGAATGCATTTCTAAATAGTGACTTGCAGGAGGAGTTGTATATGGAATTACCTCCTAGTTTTTATGATGTAGAGATTGGTAGGAAAGTTTGTAAGTTAAAAAAAGCTTTATATGGTCTAAAACAATTTCCAAGGGTATGGTTTGATAGATTTAAACTTGCTTTGGAAAGATTTAGCTATGTTCAAGCCAAATCTGATCACACTCTGTTCATTAAGAAGAAATGATTTATGTTGACTCTCCTAACTATGTATGTTGATGACATTGTCGTGATAGGAAGCGATATTGATGAGATTAATCCTCTTAAGCAACTGCTTAATCAAGAATTTGAAATAAATGATCTAGGTGAGCTGAGATATTTCCTTGGGATTGAAGTGGCAGGGTCCAAGCATGATATTTTTGTTTCCTAGAAGAAGTATGTTCTTGATCTCTTGGAAGAGACAGGAAAATTGGGAGTTAAGCTTGTTGATACTCCCATTGAGCAAAATCATAAGATAAATGCAGAGGATGGTGAGCTTCTAGAAGATAAATGTATGCATCAACAACTTGTAGGAAGATTTCTCTACCTATGTCTGATTTGCCCCGACATTTCTTGTGCTACCAGTGTTGTTAGTCAATACATGCACTCTTCCAAGACCTCACACCTCCTTGTTGTTAAGAGGATTTTAGCCTACTTGAAAAGGTGTCCAGGCTGAGGTATACTTTTTAAAAATAATGGCCATATCAAGATTGAAGTATACATTGATGCAGATTGGACAGGTTGTATTGATGATATGATATCTACTTCATGGTATTGTGCCTTTGTTGGAGGAAATTTAGTTTCTCGGAGGAACAAGAAACAAAATGTTATTGCTCGCTCCAGTGCTAAAGCTGAATATAATTCTATGGCTAATGGTGTTGCTAAAATATTATGGCTGAAGTCTCTCCTTACAGAATTGGGAATTGAGTTTGAAAGACCCTTAATGTTGTATTGTGATAAACAGGCGGACATTAACATTGCTCACAACCCAATACAACATGATAGAACCAAACACATTGAAGTTGATAGACATTTCATCCAAGAGAAAGTTGCATTTCAAGAAATATGCCTTCCTTATGTTGCCACTAGTATGCAGTTTGTCGATGTCTTCACCATGGCAGTCAATAAAATTAACTTTGAGACAGATTTAAGCAAGTTGGGAATGATCAATATATTTTTCCAAATTCAGGGGGAGTATAGAGAAAATGGTTGACCAGCTTGTGATCCCCACTTGTTCATATGTTTTCCTTTTATTATAATGCTATTAAAATACTCTTTTAGTTGTTTCTAGTGATAGGGGTATTCCTATCATTGTACCACTACTTATTATAGGCCAATTTTTAATAGCACTTGGGGCAGCAGACCAATTCTGACCAAACCCCTTTCTTCTCTTCTATTCTCTCTTCCTCCTCTCTTCTTCCTTTCTCTTCTCTTCTTTTCATATCTGTTTTCTTCTTTTTTTCTGTACAACTCATTCAGCATAAATAATAAAGATGGAATCATAGAGCCCAAATCTCCACTTTTTCCCTGCATCTCCATCATTTAAGGCTTATCGTAACTATATGGATTTGCCATTCCTCTTTTTATTCTGTTTTTTTTTTTTTTTTTTTTTTTTAATTTTTTTGGGCACTTCCATTCAGTCGAATGAATCCACTTGGTGTCTTTTGCAAGTTATATTGTCTCAACAATGAGTGTCCCTCGGCTGGCACACAATAATAAAGGTCCCCCACAATGACAAATCCTCATTAGTACGTAGGGTATAGGTCCTATGTGTCGGACAAAATTCAAATTTTTTTTTGGTCTCATTAGGACAAAATTCAATTATTGGGTCTAACTCAGCAACATGGATTCCTCATTGGCGATGTACAACCATCCATTTGCTGCAGGTCCAATAAAGTTATATGTAAGAATGGTGTTACTTTGTCACCTCTTGAAGGCAGAAGCTTACCAACATACTTTAAATTATATGACATGAATTAAGGTGGTGTTTTGTTTGGCAGGTTCGTTTTGTTTTACACATGGTTTTATAAAAGGAAAACAAACAAAAGTTGTTAGCTAGCTTATATAATTACAATTCTAGAACCTTAAAAGAAGGCTACCTTTCTTGAAAGAAAAAAAAAAAAAATGTTCGATTCCTTTATAAAATTAGCAGAAGTAGCTTTCAAAAACAGAACCAAGGTTTTATCTCAAAAGATGCTGACATGTCATCTATGATGGTCCAAAATCAGAGTCCCAAATGATATCTTGGAGAGAGAGAGAGAGAGAGGCCCGGTTTTTTTTTTCTTTTCTTTTCTTTTTATTTTTCAAAAGTTATCATACCCACCATAGTTAGATCCGAGGTCCTTGAAGTTGAATACAACAGATTCCTAAATTTCCATATGCAACTAAATCCAGGTAAAACTAATTAATACCTCTTGAAGGGGTGTTTGTAAATATGTACATAATTTTGTTTTTCAAAACAAAAACAATTGTCACAATTGCAAAATCTTACATGTTGACGAACACCTCCTAAGTCTTCTAGATGAATTAATTGTTGAAAAACATTTTCACGTCCAAAATGACATATGTAACACAATCTAAGTAAATTAATCAAGTTGTTGAAAAATAATTTAAATATTCACAAATTTTGTTTTATACTAAGTTCAGTTATGGCTTTACAGTAAAATTATAATGTTTAATTAATACTTTAAAAAGTATCATTACTTTTACACAAAAGAAGTTCAGCAATTTCAACTTTCAAGGGGAGTGGCCCAAGTTAATTAAAGAGCAATGCATCTCAGTAAGTACCAAGCAATATTGTAGTAGTAATTCGATTCTGCTCCTCCCTTTCTAGTATTCCTTTTTCACCCCACCAACAACCGCGGAAGATTTAACTTTTTTCTCCTTACCATTTCCACTCACAGACCATCTAATGATTCTAATCCCCCTCTTCTCACAATTACTTCACCTTCTGTAAGAGACAGCAGTGTTTTGCTCGGAATTCAAGGATGAGAAATGTTGGTGAAAACTCACCCACCTCGATGAATCATCAGATGCTCAGCCTGAAAGTGCTAGATCTCTCTCTCAGGATCTTTGCAATACCTCTGAGTGTTGCATCCATTTGGGTGACCGTGACCGACAAGCAGGATAGCAGCAGTTATGGAAACCTGGAGTTCAGCACCCTCATGGGACTCAAGTGAGCTTTCTCCTCTCTCCTACATGTTCTCAGGCTTTTTCCCTTCTTTGTGTCGGGTGAGTTATTTGAATATTTATACAGGTACATGGTTTGCGTCAATGCCATCTCCGCAGGTTATAGTCTTGCTGCTGTTGTTTCCTCATGGCTCAGAGGATTCTTAACCAAAGATTGGTTCTTTCTTTTCTTGGACCAGGTTTCTCATAGAGAGCCTTTAATTCGTTTTCTCCTCGTCTCTATAAATTGTTCATTAATAATTTATATATCCTCACTTACAAGGGATAAGACACATTGGCCGTGCACATACTAGACTATACAGTATTACAGTTCGAGACCATATAGATCACTGAGCTTCAACTCAAGAACAAATAGCTTATTGGATTCTTGAATTTGCTAAATCGATAGCTTAATTAGGGGGTTACATCCTATGGGGCCAATTCGACATGCCAGACTGATGCCCAGATGCACCAGATAACTGCTCGCATATCTACTTTATTTTCAAGTTCCAATTTTTTTGAGCAGGTTGTAGCTTATTTAATGGTTACATCCGTAGCTGCAGTGGCGGAGATACTTTACTTGGCTTACAATGGCGACAGAGATGTGAGTTGGAGTGAAGTCTGTAGCTTTTATGGAAAGTTTTGTAGCAGAGCAAAAGTGGCTTTGGTTCTCCATGCATTGGTCCTCCTGTGCTTCCTTGGCTTAACTCTGATTTCAGCTTACAGAGTTTTCAGCCAGTATCGTCCTCCTTGCGTTCCTTCCAAAGAAGCAGAACTACAGAATGGTTAAAATGGTCATGTTGATGGGCATGTCACTGCTTGGGATTACTTCCTGTTTTTTTGTAAGTGTTCTGAGAGAGAATTATAGAGAGGTGGTTACAGCTTTGATGTTCTCTGTAATAAATTAAATGGAATTTATGAATATATATGGAGAACTTGAAGCTGTAGTTCCTTCATGTCAAACAATTCAGGGAAACCAAATAGGATTACATTGTTAACTTCAAACCATTTACAAAGTTCTAATTCTTTTTTCTATGTCACATTGAGATTAAACTGCTAGGAGTCAAATGCAGTATAATGTGAATATTATATTACCATGAAGATTTACCAAACTCATACAGTGATGGTATATATTAAGGTTCCTTCCATTATTTGGTAATTTTGACAAAGCCCAGAACTTCCACACACAAGCAAATACAATCTTACATGGTCAGAAAAGAGGGTTTTGCCAATCTAACCAATCTGCTGCGCTTGATTTCCTTTCCCAGACTGGCTTCTCTTACAATATGAAGTCAATTTTTTATGATTTTTTTTTAATGCTCCATCTCCATGAAGGAGCTAAGTTCTTTATAACTTGTAAGGCAGACAATAACAATCTTTCAGTCTCCTTTGATTCATATCCTTGTCCAGCCTCTCTCTCTCTCTCCTTAACCAACTTGAACGCCTCCCTTGCAACCTGTGCTTCTCAGCAATGTTTATGGTTGTCTTTTAATATTTTCTTACTTTTCTTCTGAAGTTGTTCAAATTGAAGCTCCAATCAATATTTTCATTTCCACAAGCATTCATCAGGCTTTTGCCAATATTCTTTGAAAAACAATGGGTTTCTGTTCTTCTAAATTAACTGTAATGTGCAGGCACATTTTTCTATCAAATTTCCAATTGCTTACCCATTTTTGTAAAAATGAACTTATTCGATCCATTTAGTCATATGTTGTTCCATCTTCTCTCCGCTTGGGCCGGGCCTAGTACTAGTAAGCGATTGCTGTTAGGATTTAAGGTGCAGCTTTTGAAAAGTACAAACCGTCTTCTCAGGTAATTTAAATGCAGCAATACAAAAATTCGTGGATGCCAAACACCCTCTTAATTGGTCATGGTAAGCTTCACTTCATTCACAGTTGAGCAAGCGTCCCCCCTATTATTTGAGTAATCCCCATCCAAGAGATGACCCACTAATTAAAACAAAACTAACAAATAGTTCAGAGTCAGACAAAGGATTTGGTGAGACATTTTTTCTTAGCAGGCTGGGGAATTGGATCCACCAAGGATGGTGCATATCCATCAAACATTTTTGGACCACAGATGAGATGACTCACCCATGGCTGACCATCTCCTCATTTTTTCTTCACTTCCTTAATTGCTTGTATAAAAGAAAAGAAGACGGATGCCTTTACCTACCAATTGAAACTTTACTTTATGAGTAGAAAAAAAGAAAAGCAATAGACCTTTATGCACTAGACACAGGATCAACCAAAAAATGCCAGTACAACAAGCCAACAACTCTTTTTTTCTTTTTTCTTTTCTAACAAAGGTCTAATCCAATTTTTCTACAATAGAATTGGACTTGAAAAGGTTGGCAAATGCCATATAACTTTCTCCCAATTTTTTCTTTAATATCCTTTTTTTCATTATTTCAGTCCTAATCAAGTTTTATGGGTGAACAATAGGAGTTCAGCTTCAGTCAGGGCAAATCCCATTCGGGCAGTTTTTACTGCCTTGCATTGAGAATATTTCCGTATTTGTATGCTTTATTTCATGGGGAGATTCTTAATACAAGATTACAAAAGGCTGTTAGAATGGTGTGGGCAAAGATTTGTCCTGATAGAAGCCGATCTCAAATGATAGTGGATGAATTATGATACATCATGTCAGTTGTGTATCACATTCACATGGGTGCTGACAGAGGTGTTGGATGTCTCATCATCACTCAATTGGACTTGACAATCTAGATCTCCTACCCACATGACACTACAGCTGTACATTTTCTTTTTATCAATAACACTATAGCTGTACATTGGGAACATCTGGCCATGAATGATAGCATATATATAGGATTGTTGTGGGTAGGAGATCCAAACTCCTTAACTCACATATTGCAATTTTGAGTCTCTTTCGAGATTGGCTTCAGTCAGTGTAAGGCCCGATTGAACAGCCTTTACAGCCTTGCATCGGGAACATCTCCATACTTCTATATTTTATTTCACGAGGAAATCCCAATGCAAAGGCTATAATGGGTGTTTGATCGGGCTTTGCACTGACTGAATCCGGTTTCATCTCTATCATGCCGTCATCCAAGTTCTAACCACTAAAAATGGATTTTAACATACGCATGCATATGGTAGGATTCAACCCACAAATACGAATCTTACAAATATATCATTAAAATAAATTCTCAGAGTTCAATTGACTATAATTAATAAAGTTTTAACACATAAGAAATCCATACTTTAACAACTTGTTCAAGTAAAGTAATACATTGAAATCAATACGAGTCGATGACCAAGCAATTGTGATTTATGCTCCATTTCGAAAGAATGCAAATATAAATATGTTTAATTTGTATTTGCACTGAACATATTTGTATTCTTTTCAATTGAAGCCTTAAATTTGTATGCAAAATAAATACAAACCCATAGATTTTTTGTTTTCTCATCCAAAAAAAGTTATACATTTATAATTCATATTTCATAATGAGAATTAAAAAACAAAGTCACCCATTTTAGATTAAAACTGATGTAGGAACATCTGGCTGACCTGGGGATCGTGACATGTGGTGTCAGCCGAATGTACCTAGACCATTCATTACCAACCATTGTTAATTGTCGCCACCTGTTCCTCTAAGGCAATTCCGATTATAAAAAGGGGCTCCCACATTGAGGTAAACACACACTGAAACTTAAGCTCTAAGTCTCCTTTCTTGCTTGGTTTGACCCCTCATATCCTTCTTCTAATTTGACCGTCGGAGTCTTTGCCCCTAGGATCACTCCCGGGGGCCTCTGACATCTTCTTTCTCTCAACAGATTGGATCTATTGGGTTCGCACGCTAGAAATTACATTGTTGCCCTCGATTCCATATTTGGCAGCAACAGAAACAATTAAAGCCTAGGGAATTTACGGATCTATAATCTTCAACAATTCTACTCATAATACTAGGGCCAGTCATCATATACCATATGTTAGCTCTATAGATTATCGGCAGAATACTCTGGTTTCTAGCTTGAAGAGGAAGAAGAATCAGAGGATTCGGAAACGATGAGAGTCCAAATTGTCTGCAATTCATGGGGAAAACCGACATTTGTCTGAATGGCTTCATCTTCAAGATGAATTTATAATGTTTAAGTGTATTAAATTAGGGCTCGACTATGATATAGAGAAGACATGATATCGAAAAAACTGATATCTTAAATGAGTTAACAATCAGGTGGAATTTATCAAAATTCATGAGCGGATTTTGATTGTTCAAAGCTCTTTTAATACCATGTTTTTTTTTTTTTTTTTGATATTTGGCCTCGATTGATAGTAAGTATTTACATAGATCCATGTAATGAACTATCTCACAATATAACTATATAAAGCCTGCCACATGGATGCCAAATGTAAACATAAGAACTCTATGTACATGAATTCCTTATCCTTTTAATACTTGCAATAAAAAAAAAATTATTGTCAAAAATCATTTTTCCATCCAAACAATGCAAAGTAAGTAACATATCAGAATATTAACAAGAAAGATAGATAGAAAGAAAGAACTGCATTGTCACAAACAGGTTGTAGAATCTGTCTGCATGAGGGAGTTTGTATCTAGCTTCGAAGCGGCCATACAAACGAGAAAATGGCAACAAGTTAGATGAATAATTAATAGTTACAGATGCCATATGTATTTGCAATGTTTGAATAGAAAAAAGGCCCAAATCTAAAATTTGAAGACATATAGGATTCATTATTTGCAATGTTTGAAGTTTGAAGTTAGCCAATATAAATTTATGAGTTTTTTTATTAAAAATATTTTGGGTTGATTAATACAAATTGTTATTTTCAACTTTCAACAGCAATGATCAGTTCCCTACATACAAGTAAAAACCACCAGCATAGATGTTAGAATTTGAGGGTAATAGGATTTTTGAAAAACTACAGGCAGTAGAAAAGAAATAATGGAATGAAAAACAAATGCTCAGGTCCAAAGCACAAGAGACAAGACACGAGATGGTCCAAGACCATGCGTCTTGCCACCATTCAGCCTTCATCAACTGCAACTACATACTTTGTGGCTACAAACCAAGGACACTCCTTTTAATTATATAGTAGAGCCTTTTTTCCCTTGTCTGGTTGAGGCAGAGAGACAATCGAAGAGTTACAAATGATGGTGCCAAATCCTAGCTGAAGTTATTACACGACATGACTAGAGTTATAAATGAACAATGACCTCAACTTATCACCGAGCCAAAGTTTCTCTTGTAACAGAGGCTTGAGATCAGTTCTCGCCTTCACCAGTGCTGTGGGAGTTGTAGGGGTTGGGGATGACTGGATGAGGCTACCCCAATTGTATGACTCCATCTATATAGAGGAGTGTAGAGGCGATTGGGCTCTCACCACAAGTTTCAAATCCTTTAATTTTCTCTATTAAAATCTATGATTATTTTTTTCAAACAAAATCATTCTTATATCTCCCTCTCACTTTTCAATAGTCAATATTTGTAATATCTCCCCTCCCCCCATTAAATCCCTCATTTCCTCTTATATATCTTTAAACCTTTTTGAGTTTTGACCCTCCCTAATAAATTTGGATGGGTTGGATGGGATTATGTGCCAACCTGAGACCAACCCTAAACATGAACCTTAGCCTAGAATCAAACCAATATCAAAATTCAAATTTATCAATTCAAACCTAATCAAATTTCTCTTCAACCTCATACATTTGCATGGGTTTACTTGCTAATTTAACAAAAAGAAAAGAAAACATCACTGTATCACTTGTCATTCATGTTTTGTAGGGGTGAAGTGAAATTGAGACATCACACATCACAGAGACTCTAAAGTTCTGCAGGTTTGATCCTGTGACTCCATATTCGCAGGGATGCCGAGTGGCCATCCCAACTCAAGCCAGGTACGGGACGGGTAAAGTTGGGTTGGGTTGAAGATATTGGGTAGGGTTAGAGTTGGAAAATGTGACCCTGATATAGAGGTTGATAGGGTTAGACCACCCAAATTATTATATATTAATAATTCTATTTATTTATTTATATATTGTGTATATATCTCTCAATGTTAGATGGGGAGTTTACCCTATTTCGTCTCTCCACAAAATTCGCGGCTCATTAAACCGGACATCTGGATGTTTGGACCTGCCCGGCCCCGGAGTACCCCACGAGATGCTCACAATATGGTTGAACCCGCGGCTACTGAGCTTGGATTTCTCAGTCCAGATTGCCCAATCAGGTTATAAAACCTCGCCCAGCCCATCACAACAATGTGTCCAATAAATTGGTGCTGTACTTTTTTAAGTTTGGTATGAGTTCTTCGGTAAGCAGATAGATTAAGAAATAAGAATCTAGATTATAGACTAAAATGGGATAAAGGAAAGATACACTTACACTCGTTTAATTGTGATCATGTTCAGATATTTCTTTATTCAGAGTTTCAGACAACGATAAATAATGCCAAGAAATTAAGTCGAGACAGGAAATGAAAAGAACATAAAAAAGGAACGGTTGCAACTACCTCGACATATCTGTTTGATTTACAGACCAGAGCTACGTGATATTGGCACGGCTCAATCAAAGAGCAGAGCTTGAAGCACATAAGCACTGCTTTCTAATTGAACCGGACCAATATCTCGTTAAACTGTTCAATCAATCCACGCCTCACACTCCATTTGGGTTTGACCCATTCTTCTTAATCGTATTACTTGATCTGGTCCATTAAACAATCCATTAGTAGAGTGATACAACACTGGCCTTAACTAAAGAGAGGAAAATGTTAAAAGAAAAAGACAGATCGAACAGACATACCTTCTACCATGCAGAAATGAGTCTGGGAGGAAGAAGAAGAAGAACAAGGGGATGTAAGGGAGAGGAGGGATGCCGCTTGAGAATGTCTTAAATGAACAAGATGTGGCTGTTTGGGTGGTGTTGAAGATACTGGCATTGAATTCCTCACCGACCCAACAAGAAAGGAGGTTAGGAATATTTATTCCAATGAAAAGCTCATAGATGCACTTAAATCCAGAGCTTTTAATATGTATTTATGAGGTTGAGAAGGGGATGTTGACACAGTTCTATTCTCATTTAATTTTCAAAAAAAAAAAAAAGGCAATGTTTCGTGTAACCAAAATTCAAATTGTTCATGGTAACTATTATGGAGCTTGACAGATTATTCATCCCTGTAACAGCAATTGTAAGATATAGAACACTGTAATATTTCTTAATTCATATTCTTTTTTTTTTCTTGTCTACAATAAAACAAATTAAAAAGCTACATGAATATGTCATTGGATTTGGGAGTTAAATTGGGCAAATTAAGTCTGAAGTGTAGGTTCATCAAAGACAACATATCTTACTGGGCAGCTATGTTGGGGTCTAGGGCCTGAAGATGGGTTCAGCACAGCTTCACACAACAATCCTGGCAGGGTTTCAAAACCATTCTCAAAGCTCTGAGATAGTTGATGGGGCTTGGGACACATCATAGCTGCAACGGGTCTTTATCTATCATGATCATCTTTTGAACATTTTCATTGCAGAAGGACAATATTGCACGGCTACATCCGGGGCCTTAGATTGCTGATATCAAATGGTTTATCTTCGGCTATCCCATATTCTGACTATTCTTGAAGGCATTAGAGGAATCAACATAAACATTGACCGGAAAGATCAACATCCCACAGAGAATATTAGACACCTCCTTTCCTTTTTTTGAAAATATTTTGTTAGCATATGTTAATAAAGTTGATGTCTCTGTAGCTCATGTAATGGTTAGAAACAGAAGTTTCAAGTTCCAACCATCTAGACTCCTAAATCCTAATTAACTGAGGTTTCATGCTTGCATTGTTTGCATGAAAGATCTTTTTTCTTACTTTTTCGCACATGAATAAAAGACTACTTCTATGTATAATAAAGTCAGGATTCTTGTTAGTCACAGTTTAGGGCTTATCTGAAATATACAGGCGTTGTTGTGAATCATTTTCTAGCTTAAAACCTGGGACCTGAGAGCACTACATTTACATGCCAACTTGCCAAGTAGCGAAAACAATGTATATCATTTTCATCATACAATTTAGAGGCAGGGGTGCCCACGGTTCAGCTACGGAATCATGGGTCTATTTTCTAAACTGAACCGGTATCAATTGGTTAATTAGTTGCTTGGTTTGATTAATCGTCGATTTGATTCATCAGTTTTTTTATATTTATTATATATATTATAAATAAATAAACAATATATTATATATTACAAATATATATAATAAAAAATATATGAAGAATATATATAACATATATAAATATACATATAATATATATAATATATATATATATATATATATGTATACCAATCCATTTGGCTAACCAGAATTTTTGGTTAAGTCTCGTCAGTTCAGTTTGATTTTTTTTTGTTTTTCAATTTTTGATGATCACCCCTATTTAGAGGTGCAAGTGAGGCTGTGCTGAGATTAATCTCAAACCAGGCTCAACCCTAAGAATTGGGTTATAAGTCTCGAGCCTGGACATAACCCATGGTCAAGCTCAATCTATCTAATTTAGACCTAGCCTGCATTGAAATTTGATGCACTTAGATTGGGTTTGAGCCTGGTAAGGGTTTAGGTTGGTCAATGAACCCAAATTAGAACTTGACATAAATTTATATGTGTATGTATGCATGTTTGTAATCAGGCTGGTTTGGCCTACTTAAAGGTTAGACCATGGTTCAGCCAAAATAAAAAATAAAAATACCCGAAATTTTGGACCCAGGCCCATTCCAAGTACTAAATATTCAAGTTCAACATGTGTAAAATCGTGACTGGGTCAGTCCTATCTCGGGTTAAGCCCCCCCCCCAAGTTGCACCCCTAATACAATTAACCGCTTTTTTTTTTTTTGGTGCTTGTGTGCCAACTGAAACAAATATTCACCAGGTTTTCTTCTTTTTTTAGTTTGTTAATTTATAAATCATTCTCTTTTTATTATGACAAATTGGGATATCTTCTGCCTTTTGACTTGGCATATATTCCATTTCTCAATAATACAATCTACATAAAACAATACATTTAAATATTTAAGGAATAACTCGACAAAAATGTGGAAGCCTATTGACATGCTAGTGAAGAGCAAGAGAATTGAGCCACACCTCGCCAATCTAAAGAAAGTATTTAGCACCCTTAGGAAATATCAGATGAAGCTAAACCCAGTGAAGTGTCCTTTGGCGTCGGTTCAGGCAAAATCCTGGGTTTCATGGATGTAGAGGGGAACTGAATTGAACCCAGAGAAGATTCAGGCCATCCTGGACATGCAGTCCCCACGGGCGTACAAAGAAGTGCAGTGTCTCACTGGACAGCCACATTGAGTAGATTTATGTCAAAGTCTGCGAACCGTTGCATGCCCTTCTTCAAGGCATTGAAAAGGGCGAAAGACTTCCAGTGGACGGAGGAGTGCGAACAGTCCTTCCAGGAGTTGAAGCGCTACTTGAGCTCGCCACCCCTACTATGAAGCTGAACCCAAGAAACCGGCTCCTGCTCTACCTATCTACCAACGATGAAGTGGTCAGTACGATCCTACTCAAGGAGGAATGCCATACCTAGAGGCCAATCTACTACACCAACAAGGTCCTCACTGACATTGAGACACGATACCCAAACCTCGAAAAGGTTGCCCTAGCACTAATCACCTCCACAAGGAAACTCAGGTTATACTTCCAAGCACATAGAATCCAAGTGCTCACCGACCAACAACTCAAGCAAGTGCTGCATAAGCCGGAGATGTCAGAACGGTTGATCAAGTGGAGTGTGGAGCTAAGCGAATTTGACATCGACTACATGCCTCAGCCTGCCATCAAAGCCTAGGCCCTAGCCAACTTCTTGGTCAAATGCACATTCTCAACTCAAGATCTAGCCGAAGTCCCACCAATCTAAACCTTGCATATAGACAAATCGTCCGGCAAGGAAGCAGCGCTAGCTTCACACTCCTCAACTCAGACAGTACTGTCCTCAAGCACGCTCTGAGGTTCGAGTTCAAGGCATCAAACAATGAAGCAGAATATGAGGCCCTAATAGTTGGGCTTCGGCTCACACTAGACATCGGAGCAAGTTATGTGGAAGCCTTCAGTGATTCCCAGTTGGTGGTCAACTAGTTCACTGGTCAGTTCAAAACACGAGAGCCCACCATGGCAAGCTATCTACAGAAAGTGTAGAAGCTCTCCAGACAACTCGAGCACTTCACCATACAATAGATCCACAAAGCCAAGAACATACCGACCTCAGCACTAGGGTTAGGATGGACACCTTAGGGGAACCCAACATCTCTTAAGCAACCTTAATGGTCTTCCCCGTCCAGCAGGAGCCATTGTGGACGGATTCGATTGTACAATACCTCCAAAACGGCACCCTTCTTGAGGACCAAACTGAAGCAAAAAAGGTTCACCCACAGGTTGGCCCGGTATTGTCTCATCTAGGACCAACTCTATCACTAGTCACATACTCTCCCCTACCTGAGGTGTCTTCCCCTAGCCGAAGCCGATTATGTCCTCAGGGAGATACACGAGGGCATTTACAGAGACCACCTCGGCGCATGGACCTTGGGATACAAGTAGACCTGTTCATGGGCCGGGCCGGGCTGGGCTCGGGCCGAGCTTTTAGTGTTTATTAACAGAAAAATAATAGGCCCGAGCCCGAGCCCGGCCCTGATAAAAAGCCTGAAGCCCGAAGCCCGAGCCCGAAGCCCGACCTAATAAAAGAAAATCAAAATTTTCCCTATTCAAATAGACATTATCTATTTTAATTCAGATGTTTTTTTCCCCTATTTAAATGAACAATGGGCCTACAAGTGAATCAACAACCTTCTCAAATCAAAAAAATTATTCAAATGGACATCACATAGGGCTTTTACTTAGGTTTAACTATAGGTCGGGCCGGGTTTACTTAGGTTTAACTATTGGTCGGGCCGGGCCGGGCTATTTTGGCAAAGCCCGAGCCCGGCTCGAATTTTATGCGGGTCAGGCTTTTTGGCCCGAGGTTAAGATTGTGGGCCAAAAAGCCTGTTCAAGCCCGTCCGGGGGTCGGGCTGGGCCGGGCCGGCCCGTGGGGCCACCCGGCCCATGAACAGGTCTAGATACAAGGCACTCCGATAGTGCTACTTCTGACCCACCATGAAGTAAGATGCAACTCAGCTTGTCTAAAGATAAGATCGTTGTCAAAGACATTCGAATCTCCACCATCAGCTAGTAGCCCCTCTCACGACATCCCAAGTCCATGGCCCTTCACCCAATTGGGGATGGACATCCTCAGAGTGTTCCCAACCGCGGCCAAACAGAAGAAGTTTCTCCTTGTTGCGGTGGATTATTTTAGTAAGTGGGTCGAGGCTGAACCCCTAACATGCATTACCAAGCAGAACACCCAAGGCATCCTATGGAGGAACATTATCTGCCGCTTTGACATCCTTCGGGTCCTCATCATCGACAACGGCTCCTAGTTCACTAATCGAAAGTTTGAAGCATTTTGTGCCGATCTCAATAGAATTGTACATAATTATTGAAAATATATTTATCACAAAAAATAAAAAATAATTATTGAAATATAATACATATTAACTATAGTATATAAATATATAATAAATATAAATTATGTTTTAAAATTATTAATAAACATTAATTTTTCGAAAGTTATTTTCTAGAACTATTAATTGGTGTAAATGAGTTAGTTATTTACAATATTATTTACTTATTGAAATAATATCATTATTTAAATTTTAAAATATTAATTACTTGTTGAATTTAAAAATCCAAAAAATTATAGTACTATTAATACATAATTTTGTTATTTTAACTATTTAAAATCTAGTTATGTTAAATATTTCGTTATATAAAATATTTAGTTATTTATTTAACTAAA